CTGGATCTGTACGGGTACGGGAACCCATACGTTTTGTACGCCCTCGTGCAAGAAAAAACAAAATCATTAAAAAAAATCAGAAAAAACAAATATGTGATGTAACAGCAGAAAACAAGCAACATTTGACTGAGCATCATCTGCAGATTTGTATTAGAATTTGAATAAAAAATAAAAAATAAAAATAAATAAATAAAACTCGTACGAGGCTTTTAACGTTCGAGTAGCATACGAGTATAGGATTACGAATCTGTACTCGTACCAGGGTGCTTACAAATGGCAATGCAGGTTGTTTTTTTTTTTTTTTTAATAATATATTTTTTTAATGGATTTTTTTGTTTTTTTGTTTTTTTGTTTTTTTTTTTGTCCAAGTTCGACCCGAACGGCTGAACGCATTCCCATGGGGTCCTGTACGTTCGGGCGTTTGGGTTTGGGCGTTCGCCCCGTCTCGAATGTCGGTAATCCTCACTCTCATCAAATTCCTCAGTCATTTTATCATATAAGTAAGCCGTTAACTCTCAGTTAGATAAACCCCAATATCCCACTTACATAGGGCATAAAAAGGTTAGGCCAAACCGAAGCCACATTGCTTAACCTTTGCCTTTTTATACACAAACAAAAAAACAAAACAACTACTTTCTTCTTCTAGGTAGAAACCAGATGAAACTGAAGCCATATTGTCTACCCCTGCAAGATAATTAATATGTAAGTTAAAATACCTCTCTGAGCCTTTTAATTTTTGGAAGACCAAGACTGAGAGAAACCAAAGCCACATTGTTCATTCCTCCTTTGAATATACTCGTAATATTATTAATAAGTATTCTCTTCCTTTTTGTGATACGCTATAGTCAGACCGAACCGAAGCCATATTGTCTGACTACCTCTTGTTAAAACAGTACAAGTATAATCTAGTCATATAAAAAAATCATATTATGAGGTTTCTCATTATGTGCGCAACCTCAGACTAAGCCAAATCGAAGTTACGTTGCTTAGTCATTAGTCAAAAGACCTCCCTCATAAAAAATGCAAGTAGTTGTGCCAAACCATTTCGGCCAACATTACCCAACTCTTAAACCCCTTCAACAGGCAAATCACCACGACAACAACAACGTGACCAAAGTGAAGCTACATTGTGTGGTTGGGGGAAGGGTAATACAAGAAAGCATAGCAGCTAGGCCAAACCGAAGCCGTATTGTCTAGCTGCACGGAAAATAAGTTAACAAAGGTACGGCAACCAGACAAAGCCGAAGCCATGTTGTGTGATTGCCAAGAATACAAATAATACTACAATCAGTCAGAGATGAGCATTTTTCGCCCACCCTTAAAAAAACAAAAAGAAAAAATCTCAAGGTGTTCCAACTCACCCGAGTGTTCTTTTGAAAATTTCCTCCCACACCCAACCCTCCCGTCACCCATAAGAAACCTTCACTCTGACGCACCCACACCCACGAGAACAAAATTACCCACCTGCACCCGGTACCTAATTATTTTCCCCCTGCACCGCCCATTCCCCATTGTCTGAGTCCCTTTGAACATTTGCACACACCATAGCAACATGACATCCTTGGATGACGACGTAAAACTTTGAAGCATCTTTGCCTGTTTCTCTTAACAAACAGGCAAAGCTCTATCTATTCTGGGGCTATCAGTCCGGTTGTTCATCGCCGGCAAGCCACAAGTACATGACAGGCAGTCGGATAGGAAAAGAAAAAGTAGATCGAACGAGAATCAGATACAGCCACCCTTGCAGCTCTCGCCGCGTACACAAGGGGGGGGGGTTGCTTTGGCCACTCCCCCCACCGAACCATGATTCATTTGCCTCAGGGTGCACTTGCTGGCCTGGAAGCTTACTGGCAGTACCCAGACACACAACATGTGGATCCTGTAAATGGCAGGGTGTCGGGGAGAGGCGCCTGGCAGCCTCACCGGCCCGTCAATGTCCAAACTCTAGCTGGCGTACTTCTGTTGAACCCCATATTCATCCTATAGTCAACAGTTCCTTTTTTTTTTTTTTTTAAGCCAACAATTCCTTTACACCATTCTATCGACTACAGTTCTTTTACAGCTCTGAAGCACCCCCCGCCTTGTGTAAATCATTCTCCCTATTTGCAAGCGTCTATCCCAGCGTTTTCCTTATCGCCCCTCTTTTAACTACTCTTAAGGCCCATATAATCTCCGCCGCCACTGGTAGGTCTTCAAATTTTGGTCTATCCCCCTTCACCTTCATCAAGGTCCCTACAGTCTTCCCCCGAATACAGTGTAAGGTCATTATAGCTGAATTTAGACTGAAAGAAACCTCAAATTCAGCTAGAATGATCGGACGTTTTATTCGAGGGAAGACTTTAGGAGGATAGCCGCGTCATCTGCCTCCGTGACATCCAGTGGGGATTTGTCGGCGAGTTCCTCCCCCCAATGCTTCCCAAAAGCCCGGATAACCATTGGTTGTGGCGACCGCCAGGATGCATCGCACAGGAACACGGGCCACGGACTCCACTTGCCTGCAACCTGCTCAACATCTCATCTCTGATCTTTGTGCTGGCTCTTGGTTTTGCCAACCACTGCGCTGTGGGGACCATCAAGTGGTGAAGGTCTGCCTGTTTCTGGTCTTACAAGAGAGCCAAGATGGTGCATTGCTCGTCCCACCTCTGGCCCATCGGTTCTTCATTCTCCACAAATGTCCTCCAGCCCCAGTGGCGAGTTATAGATGTTCTTTGTGGTCAAGCTCAATTTGGTACAGCTTTCCTCCTCCGACTTTTTTGAGCCGGCCTTTCCCATTCCCTCAGCCCCCATACCAGGTCCCCCCCCCTGGATGCTATGTGAAATGGCAGCTATGATAGCCTTTCCCCCTTCAGTCCTCCTTTGCATATGGCCACTGTTTCAATTGTATTCCTATCTAGCTTTCTCAGGGGGATCCCTTCTTCGGAACCGACCCCCTGCAAGGGGTCCCACATCCCTTTGTACCGCGAATTTGCCTGCCATCCCGCGACTTCCAGTTTCCCCCCTCTGCCAGCACCAGTTCCAGCCTGTACTCTGTCTCCGGTCTTTTGGTGCCCCTCGTCTCCACCCATTCCCCCGGTGTTTTTCTCTGTCTCCGGTCTTGTGGTGCCCCTCGTCTTCACCCATTCCCCCGGTGTTTTTATTTCATCTTTTCTTAAACCACCAGTACTTCCTAGATTCGTGCCCATTAACGCGCCACGATTTTAGGAGCCGTACCGGCTACTACAGGAGAGTCCAAATTCATCCGACTAGAAACGTTTCTACTCTATTTTTTTCTGCGGCCGATATCTGGGCCAAGCACTGGTGGTTTAACAGCTCTCTTACCCCCTTCTTCACAGCTCTCTTACCCCTTCTTTTCTTTTTTTGGTTTGCCCAGGTAGCCATGCAAATCTTTTCTCTATCCTTGAAGGGAATTTTCTTTAACCCTTGACTGGTGTGGCAGACCTTGTTTTCACCATTGATGTCCTTTCTTGCTTTCATAGCACGCAGAGGGTTTTTGCGGAGCGTCCTTTTTTTTTTTTTTACTTGTCTTTTTTTTCAATGCAATGCCCCTTCTAAAGGCATTTCAGCAAACGTGGTCATTAAAGTGAATTACCAAACACTTGCAGTGTCAGATAGAACACCGCTGTTTACCCACCAACGACTGGTTGATAGACCGTACCCACCCGGAACAGAGAGGAGAGGCGCTACCTTGGTGCAAAGCGTGCCACACTGCCTTCCCCTCCCGCAGAATCCTCGAGACTATAGAACATATATTTATGCAATGCTCGGGTGCAGTCCTCACATGGCGATGGTGGGATAGAATCTGGTCCCGTCTGGGCACTGGGTCAAAATGGCCTTGGGACTGGAAAGCCATACTTTGCGAGACATGGTCCTCCCCCACGACACGTTTAAAATAGGAAGGAGAGCGGTCATGTGGGCCCTCTGGAAGAAACGTTGTATATATGCTATAGAGGGAGCCCGGACGGCGGAGGGGGAGGTGACAGAGTTTATAAAACAATACATCCAACAAGAACCGACGATACAGTGGCAAAAAAAAAAAAAGATTCAACTAGACCTGCTCCACTCAGCCAAAGATATAACACAGACAATCCAGCAATTCTCAAGGGACTGGTTGGGCAGTGAGGATGGGGGCTGGATCGCGTCTGTCAGATGGGAAGGTAGGCCTACCCAGGGCGAGCAGGGTGACCACCAGGGAAAGTTTAGAAAGCAGTATTTGCTTTTACGATTGGACAGTGGTGGCCAGGAATTCCCGCTGCGACCATTCACAGAATTCCCAGATCCCTTCCCACCCCACCAGTTAGCAATGGTGGACCTGCAATGGTACAGCGTCGAAGATGTAGACTGATGAGCCAAGACTGGTAGTTGGAGATTGGTAGAAGAGGAAGTGCTACTTTGTAGCAGCAGACATCTGGCGTCTGGTTCAGGGCGAAGAGGTTCTTTCCTTCTCCACTCCCAGAGTAATCAACACTGGCAGGAGTTAGACCCGGTTCTCAGCATAGGGCACTGTTTGGAGTGGGCAGAAAAGTTGATTCAAGTGAAAAAAGGATAGAAATAGGGTACAGCAGCAACGTGGAGAGGATGGAGGGAGGGCCCTCTGAACTTTCCTCCAAAAAAAGGACTGTTGTTGGAAGGGGGGGCTACTGAAGAAGGCTGGGCTAAAAGATAAGGGGCGCCTCAAGATGGGATGGGTGATATAGGCAGCTCCATGGGATAGCGGAGCCCCATACTTATCCGCAGCTTTGATGTCACGGTTGATGTAACAAGCCTCATACCCAAAGGGGGAGGTGGAGCAATGTAGCTTTTTTAAGGAGGAAGGGAGGAACTAGTTCTGTAGCATTAGACATCTGGCGCCGGGTACTGGGGCGAACTAGTTCTCCCCTCCTCTAGCAACCTGCACAGTCAATTCTCTCGATGCCAGAGTAATCAATGCTGGCAGGTCGATTCAGCACATTTTCATTCTGTTTTCCACTCTGTAACGGGACGCTGGACCCGTTTTCCAGCAGGTGATGCTCCCCGCCAATAGAAAATGTTAAAAACAAAAAGGAGAGATGGCTGAGTGGTCGAAAGCGACAAGTTAACTAGTAAATCGTCCCCTGGTGAAGATCATTATATCTGTATCTGGCGCAACTTCCAGGCTGGATCCGGAGATCATTGCCGCACCTTTCATTCGTGTGAAGACAGCAGGCAAGATTGCTGCCGACACAGCTGACACACTGATTTTTTATTATTATTATGTTGTTTTTTTTTTTTTTTTAATGATTCGAGAAATGATTTGAGCTGACACCCTGATTGGATGGTGGAGTTCATGTACGGAAAAGGAGGAAGGGTAGGCAGACGCGGTGCAGCGGGAAAGTGGGCCGCACACGAAAGGGTATGCTTAGCCCCGTACCGTTTTTTTTTGTTTTTTTTTTGTCCGGTACTACCCCCCCACTGTAAAAAAACAAAGGGCGACACGCCAACGGCCTTGAGATAACATCGTTGAAAATTGTTGAACCGTACAGCCCTACAGTCTTCCGCCGAATACAACGTACGATCATTATAGCTGAATTTAGACCGAATGATAGACCAAATTTAGATATAATGACCGTACCTTCTATTTGGCGGAAGCCTGTAGGTAATTCAGAATGTTGTTATGCTGGTCATCTGACTGTAACTGGATTCGAACTTGGGTCTGATTCATATTTCAACAGTTCGTGGGGGGGTAACAACGGGCCTAGTTCATTACCCCTACTATATAAGAGCAGGCGTGAAGAATAAATTCAAATAAATTAAATTCAAATATAGATTAAATGCAAAAAAAGAAATGCCAAACAAGCAAGGGATGGCAGGAAAGCGAAATGCCAAAGCAATCTCCGTCAGAGGATGGCCCTGCATTCTTCAACAGCCTTAGGATACGGTCAGTTGCTACACCCGTGAACTGTTAAAAATATAGACTCAGGGCATAAACTCGCACTTCGGCCCCACCCCAAAATCTGCAAAACATGCGGATTTGGGAAGGGTCGATTTGAGATTTTGGGCATGGGTGGGATCACACTGCTGCACCCTTTCGGACTTTCAGACGGGACAAAGGCCTGACTGACCGTCTGGAGTAATGGCGATTTGGTACTTCGCTGGTCACACGGCGCCATCCACAAAATGTGCAAGAACTCTTTTTTTTGCGTGCACAAATTTTCATCAGTTCTCCAAGACAATGGTAAATAATGGCGTGAAATTTGCAAACACCTCCAGATGCGACCGCAAGATCCCTTGCCCCGCGGCTACACAGGCAGCTGGCAAATGGGCACATCGATGGGACATTTAGGACTTTGGTAGAACTGTGTGACCAGTTCTGTTCCTTTTTTTTGTGGGGGGGGGGATTTATAGGTCGTAGTGCGAGTCTGCCCTCATGTTTAATTTACACTTCATGAAATGTACGATATATGATCAAGCAAAGCATCCACGGCGAAGTAGAAAGGAATAACATTACACTGCCATATCATTCTACACGCTATGTCAGCATACACAGTTTTCTACCTCATGGCAAACCCACTTTTTTAATACCCCCCTCACAAGCTAAATGCAAAATCCCAGTTATGCCCTTCCAATTTCCAAACTGAAACCCCCCCCCGTGGATACAACCAACACTCCCTTGAGTCGTCCTGCGTAGTAAATGACTATGCTTAAGGTGGGTGGAGGGGGTGGAGGAGAGGAGAGGGGGGGGGGGTTGAAAAAAAAAAAAAGAAGCCATGATGTCAGCTGAAAAACGAGTTATTGCGCGACTAATTCCACAAAGGACAATACCAAGAAACTTGCGTCCGACCGACAAGAGAAATAGAGAAACGTCTCCAGGGGCAAGAAAGGCCACCTCTCCAGGGGCAGAAAGGCAAAACTGGCACTTCTGAAAAAGACCTGTGGGGAAAGAAAGCCACATCATCTCTATTGCTCTGCAAACTCACTCGTGGAACTGGTCATGTTGACATGTACTAATTTTAATCATCTATTTTTTCCCTCAGCAATCACAAGATAGGTCTTTTATTTCTACTACTGCTCTAGCCACATCATCTCTATTGCTCTGCAAACTCCGTCGCGAAATTGGTAATGAACTCGCTTTTTTATAATAATCTATTTTTTTTTCTCTCTGTCAGGAATACCAGATACCACTTTATTTCTATGAATTCTCTACAGAACAACCGCAAGAAGATTTTCATGGACAACATAGGGTGAGAGAAACCTAGAGAGAAAGAGACAAGGGAGGAGATTGAGAGGATGACCTGCGGATACGGTTTTGCCGCAACAAAAGTCAACGGACAATGTAGTGGCGGGTAGAGGCTCACGTGCCAGAGAACGTGCAAAGTGTGACGTGAATTGCGCTGCCCAAGAGGTGTTGTGCGGTGTTTGTTATCAAGACCCTTCCCCCCCCAACAGAAGAAAGGGCAAAACAACGAAGAAAAGATACCGCTCTTTCTAGGTGAGGGCTACGACTAACGAGTCTAAGATGGAGCTAACTCCTAATTATTTAGGCAGACCCGGCTGTGCCCTTCCTTCTACCATCTCGCATGTTACGTAAATCGAAAACTCGGAAAAAGTGAATTCAGGTAGGTTGCCCCCGATGTTATAACCGCAGTTACACAGCATGTACCTACATCCTTACAAAACCTCTTCTCCCGCGGGTCTGAAAAGTAGTGTGGTGACTACCTCTCCGTCCACAAACTCGGAAATCGAAATTCCCGCAAAAGGGCCAACCTACCTTTTGCTTCACCTCTCTTCTGCAGAGGGCTTGTCGGAAAAGTAGTTTGGTGACAGCCTCTCCTTCCACAGAACTCCTTCAACAGAAGCTGGTGGCGGTTGTCGGGGGCGGGGGGCGAGGGGAGGGGAGGGGAGGGGAGGTGCAGGTGAAAGATGTAATGTCACAAGTTAATACAATCTGTTTCTACATCCACGGCAAGACTTGCGGAAAAAGTGCACATGCAGGTTGTGCACGCTGCGCACACTGGGTAAGCAATTCGTTTTTCACGATTCCTTTCTGGTACATTTGGACTTTCGTCTCCATTTACGCGTGTCTCATTTTCGTCATCCTTGCACAGGAGTATGCTAAATTGCTCATCCTCTCTCTATCCGTATAGCTCTGCTCTAATTTTCAGAGACGTTTCGCACGATGGGAAAGCCACCTCCGAGAATACGCAGCAGCGTATTACACAACGCCAATTGCAGACAATGACTTCTTCAACCCGAAACAATGCCATGTACACATGAAGCCAGGGTGGACAAAAAAATCAATCCGTTGACCCCATCTCCGTAGTTATGTTGACGATCCACCGACTCTCGCTCTCACCTGAAGAAGACGATCAAGCACAAAGCGAGGAACTGGTCCACCCCCGCTGGCCGCATTTCTGCAGTATCCTTGAAGATTCCACCGCTCACCTGAAGACACTCGAGCACCTGCCAGGAAGAAATGGCGGCTCGGCCTGTTGGACGTGTCTCCGCAGCAGTTCCCTTGACGACTCAACACCGCTCAGCTGAAGACAATCAAAACACCCCACACGAACTGCAAGGCTGGTCATCACAGACAAATGGTAGACAGCCAGGGAGCTGAAGGGTGCTGGCCGTCACCAATCGATCGATGGCAGAGGACGCGAGCACTTCACGGTGTGCCGCACGACGCACACTCGTTTCCGAATCGGCAGTTTCCTTTACAATTAAAATTCAACCGGTCGCCTGAAATCCATCGACCGGTGACAGCGAGGAACTGAAGGCTGGTTGTCCGGAATCAACGGTATATAGAGGATTGGAGGGCGGAGGCAGTCACCGATTGATGGATGGGATGCCCGAAAGCGCATCCACTCCGCTATGTGAACGACACTCATTTTGGCAATCCGCCCACATAATTCAAGTGCACAGAGACAATGGAGGGAGATTTTCTCTGCTCACAAAACTAGGAAAAATATCTGCAACATCCGCGGCACACTTTTTTTCGGCCAATTCTTTTGTAGTCACTACGGCCCCGTCCACCCTCTTCCTTCTTCCCCATCTTCGATGTGTGCGCGGTTGGACCGCCACGCGACTGGCCGGCTCTCACAATGGAAGCAGGGGACGGTCCCACACAGCAAGAACACATGCCAGCCATGTGGTCTACCAAAACATCGTTCATCGTGTCACACACACGAAGAACAAATGCCAAATCTGTATGTCTAGCAAAACAGCATTCATCCAGAAAACACCCTATCGCCTATATCGTAGAATAGCCACATAACATCCTTTTTCTGCTAAAAAACAGGAGCAGAGAGAAAAAAGAATGGACACTTAACCATCCTACCTGCAGAACATGTTACACGCTGCTGCACCAGAATACCGATGTACATCGTACCTGGTGCGTCTTCAAACCATGTGCTATCTGGGGTACAGGGAATCATGCCATTGTGCCCGAAATAAATGCCGAGCACCTGGACTTGATAAGAACACGCAAGAAGCTGTGCACACAAATCGGTCTATAAATGTCTGCCTAGTCTACAGGCCCTATAACCACGCAAAAACACAAGCACGCCAGTGCCACGCCTGCGCCTGCAGAGTACTTTGGAACTCACGTACCCCGCATATGCACAGGCCAATGGAAGAGCTACGCGGACAAGTTCCCATCCTTCCCTCCTCAGCTCGGCCTAAAAAAGAAAAGCAACTACAAACACAATGATCGGGAAAGATGGGAGCAAAGAAGCATACAACCCTGCACATGAAACTGGCAAAAGGCTGTATCATCTATGAACAGCAAAACAGGCAAAAAGCACAGCGACAAACAACAAAACTCACCGCATGATGATCGTCAAGATACGAGGCAGTAGGGGGGGGTACAGTGTCACTCCAGAAACTGGTACACAACTGCCGGCAAGCCGACGACACCTTGCAGGCAAGAGGCAAAGAGATGAAGCTACACCACCTTTTCGAAGATGGGGACAATACACCGCAGCTTTAGATTGCGCACACAGCTGCAAGTTCCTACTTGCGCACGCTAAAGACTCGTTGGTTATTTTGTTTTGTTTTGTTTTTTGTCACGAGGATTGCTGCTGCATCTTCAAAACTGCTTCTGTTTCCTAACAACAAGCTGCTCATCATTGTGAAGAAGCGTTGTGTCGTTCCTAAACCAGCGCACGAAGGCATCGACTGCAGGCTTGGGAGAATTCGGCGATTCACCTCCTCCTTTATGGCCATCCAGCACGATCACTCCTAACGATCTGACCAAAGGCCAAACCAAACAGAGCTCCGTCATCACCGTTTTCGCTGCTTTACGATGACAATCCAGGTAAACGAAATCGTACCGTCTCGATGTCACGACAGTATCCAGCAGCGCGTCGACATTCCGCCCTCTCCAGACGGTCACCTTTTCCTTGTTCTTGCCCATTGTTTTCATGAAGGAATTGTACTCATGATCGTTGAACAGATCGACGCAGATCAGATGGCTCGTCTGATAAGTTAAGATTTTCTCCATGAGCCATTTTGCCATATCCTCTTTGCCCGACCCAATCTGAATCGCGAGAACTCCCGGAAGATTCTCCAGATACGAAAGGTGTTGAGCCCAGGGCACGGTGATCTCCTTAGGACGAACCTGCATCCGCGCGCCTGTTGCAGAACGACAGAAAGCCACACCATAGACGCACACGACACATCATTACGCTTACGGGAACAGGCAGGAACGACGAAAAGAGACAACATAGACACACACAGCGCATTTGACAGAACGGCACAGTAAACACGGTTGACTTCGAGATTTCATCAAATTGGATGATGTGCTCCATCTTGCTTGCTATAGTCTATAGACTAGTATAGACTCTACTATAGAGGGAAAGCCGTTTCATTGTCGGAATATCCCAACTCAAGTGTGCTTCGTTGTTTGCAGTAGGACCAAAGGCTGAAGCTGCTTTGATTTTGGTTCTGCTCATCTGGGTGGACTAGGGGCTGTTGGGGGAAAAATCCAAAAAACACACGACATCAACATTAACACCAGACGTGGAAAAAAAAAAACAAACAAACAAACAAAAAAAAAAAAAACACAGACTTGGAAGGATATTCAACAATCAAAGGAGCAAATCATCATTGCCACACATAGACCACCCAACCCCCAAGGCGCCCCCCCCCCCCCCCCCCCGAAAAAAAAAACAAAACAAAACAAAACATCATTACCGCACACTTTTCTCAGGGGTATCGCTGACGTTGGGCGGCGAGGCAAGTCCTTATCCATCATCAGTCAAATGCATCCTGGACAGCCTGTCTGTCCAGGTTCAACCTCCTGATGCGTCGGTGAAAGTCCGACGAAACAGTCTCTCTGGCACGGTCATATGACAACATGCATAGATTGGGAGACGGGTCAAGCCAACCTCCATTGAAGAGCTTGTCCAACCAAGCATAAATGACTTCTGAAACTATTTGATTTGTTTCATGGATTTCTTCGAATAAAAGTTATAAAACCCTTCCTTTTTTTTAATACTGTTTAGTTTTTCAGTACTTTTTTACTTTTTAACTTTTGTGACGCTGTCTGTTCTACAGGGGAAGGGCTCCGCCTGCTGCTTGAGGTTTTGTTCGGGTTGTTTGTAAAAAAAAAAAAAAAAAAAAAAAAAGGAAAACCAAAAAAAAACAGAGGAAAAAGCAAGAGGATAAAAAGAGGGGGAAAAAAAAGAGGAAAAAAGATTTGTAGTATTGTTTTTTTTGTACTCAAGAGGGTAAGCTCATCGGCATGTGGACTTGTGTGCTTTGACGTGTGGATCCGTACTGGGATGCTGCTCTTTGTCTTTCTCTCCCCATTTCTTTTCTTTCCTCTTCTTTTTTTTCTCTCCGTTTCTTCTTCATGTGCTGCCGTTTCAGCTAGTAGAGTCACAAGTTCTGTTATGTACTTCCGGGGTGGGTTGGCCGTGGGTGGTGGGATGCGCACAAGGATGTGCTTACCTAAAGGGACAGTGCGCTACTTACTCGATGCAGCCCTTGTTTTTTGCGCCTGTCGTGAGTTTTGCTTTGCCTTTCGAAACTCAAAACCTGATCGGCCACACTTGTTTCTTCTGTTTGTCTTTCTTTCTTTCTTTCTTTCTTTCTTTCTTTCTTTGGGGTCCAGTGGTCGACCTCAGGAGACGACCGCCCTCCCTTTCCTTGCAACAATTGGGAACAGACAGTGCATGGGCAGACTCTTCTTTGAAATGTTAATGTTGCAGCGACTGCGTCGGCAGCCCCCGTCTTCACCCGAATATCTTGTATCTCTATCAGGGCAACTTTCAGTCCAGATGCAGGGATAATGACTGGGCGTTTTTTGCGGGTGAAGAGTCTGAAGACCATAGCTTGTGCAGATTGAAGCCTTAAGAAGTATATATCTGGAGAAAGATCTGATGGACTGTCATTGTTTGTTTGTTTCTGACGCGTGTCTGTCAGACCCGGAAACGAAATCTTGGCTGCAAGACCATCTGGACCCAGTGTTCGGTTTTCCTTCTCTTGTGCGCTTCAGCTGGGCGACGTGCAAGCCCTTGCTCGATGCCAACACTGCTGATGTTTACTGGTACGTGTCTTTTATCCTCCTGTCCTGCAAGCGTGTTTTCAATTTTAAGGTTTAAGACTGACAGCCTGACACAGACGATTGTGAAGCGCATTTTCTCTTTCTTTTATTATAAGTGATATGCTGACACCAGCCAACTCTTGCATGAACCAGATATGCACTCTGCATCTGCCTTGTTTCCACAGTTGACACAGACAACTCTGTGTCTGTATAAAAACTGATATGCTGCTACGATTGGATACGTAAGGCTGACGTCAGGCTGATGTCATTCCTGAGATGCGCAGAGGTTGTAAACGATGGCAGACGGATTCATGGCAGTGGGTCAACGATGATGGACTAGATTGCATGAACCAGATATGCACTCTGCAT